TTTTAACTAATAAGAAAGATAATACATTTTCTAAATTCTCTTCTCTCTTTAAACTCTCGATCTTCTCTTCTTCTTTTTCTCTCTTTTTGACCATAAAGTCCAATCCTTTGGTAACCTATACATTTTTGAAGAAAATTGTTTGTTAGTTAATTACCCTTTTATATCTCATTCAGTAGGATTCAGAAAACAATGAACAAGAGATCAAATACACACACATATAGTCTCATTTCACTGAAAGATACCCAAATAAGTTTATTTAAAGAATCTCTTGCAAGGTCCAATTTCCAATATATTTCAACAATCTAGTTGTTTATCTTTAAGGTCTTCCCTCAAAGATCATTCTACATCACCCAAATCTAAAACTAGATATACAAACTTTGAATTAAATGGTAGTCATTTCATTGGTTTTTTAGGAATCGTATTCATTTACTTTCTTCACTATATGTAAATTGATTGATGCCTTAATGGTTTTTTATTTGTGTAAATTTTTGCTAGTATGATGTATGCATGATGAACTACAATATAGATGACTTAGATGATTGAAAAAAGTTACAAAATGCACACAAGGTGTCTTCTATATAAGTTTAATTATGGAACCTTCAATAGAGAGGGATATAGTTATGCCATGGTTATTCATCACATTTCTTATTCACAATACGATGAATAAGGTATGTTATATGGTCAATTACAATTCATAGTAGTAAAGCACTTTAAAGGACATTCTTAAATTTCAGGTAGACGAGCCATGGGCCCATTCCAACAATAGGACTAGGTGGGGTTGCCGTCAAAGAGAACTCCCTGGAGAACAAAAAAGTTGGGTAGTTGAGGTTGCTGGAGGAGAGATGGCTGGAGTTAGGGTGCATGGAGAAGACAAAGGGTTGAGGGTGAGGGAGAAGATTGGTGTTTGGTTACAAAGATAATAAATATTTGGACGGAGTTTTAGATAAGATAGGTGGGATATTCTCATTAGGCCACGTTATGAAGTCCCTAAATTGGATATTCTCTAGTGTTGTCCTTTGGTATTTGTTGAAAGGCAATAAGTTTACACTCAGCTTACATTTTGCACTCATATTATTTTTAATTAAACCATTAATATCTCTTTAAACTCAAATTTACTACCTAAGCTACCTTTACAAACCCAATTCAATATGTAAATTTATCTTTACACCAATTTGAAAAATAAAAAATCTCAAAAAATTCTCTTCTCAGACGTTATCTCCTTCCAACAGTTGCTTGATAGAGTTTCCATCACCCTTTACAAGGTTGCCCTCGGTAAATTCCAGGTTGCTTTGCGCCAACTATATAGATTTTCACTATTTCCATTAAGAAATAATTGCAGGCAATCAAACAATTCATTTATGGGGAAACATATAATTAACATCTGATGGCAATGGTATGAAGTAATCTGCAGTACCATGAATCAAAACAATAGGAGGAAGGAGAGAAGCAACATTTCTAACATTCTGGTCTTGAATCATGAGTTTTGGAGAAAAAAGTTGCAAAGATTGTTCTTCTTCCATATTTTGTGAGAGGTTTTGAAGTCATAAGAATTAAATTCAATTCTCAGACTAAAACTATGAGAGTATAAGAGAATATGTATGGTGAACATTTTAGGAGACCAAGAAGTCTGTACCCTAGAAAGATTGAATGATATAATACCTCGGCGGTTGAATTGATCCCCTAAGTTAAGCAAATTGTACCTATTTGAAATCAGAAAACTCAGAAGTAACAAAAATACATGAGAATCAATTCGAAGGAAGTTGAGAGCAGCTTTATTTGATAAGAAAACTTCTTGTTTATTTGTATTGGATATTGTCATTTTTGGTGTAAGAAAAAGAAGCATGAACATATAAACATAAAAATTGTATTCCTGGTCATTTTTTAATGACATGATATGTACTTGGTGCTGTCGTTAGGGTTTGATTATGGGTGTGCATTTACTAATAAACCTTGATTTTATTGCTAGTCATATCTTGTACTTGATAGTAATTATGCAATAGGATTATAGTGACATTTTATATTTAAAATTTAAGTTGGGTGTAGAAAGGGGTTATATGAGTTTAAATAAAATTTCCCTTGTCGTTATTGAGGGGAAAAAGGGTTCAAATTATGAAAAGCCTTCCAGAATGTTATTATTTAACGAGTTGAAATTACAACAATGTCTACGAATATTTACAAACATATAATGGTAGTACGTACACTTCGCAGCGGAATGAAAAATTGTGAAAACCATATACAATTAGTATTATATTATGTTTCCAAAACAACATGAACGGCTTGAAGAATTGAAAACTAGATTGGAAGTGCCTTCCAACAATATAAGGTTTAAAATAAGGATTTTAAGTCAAAATAGTCTATGAGATTGGCATGAGATTTAAAATCGATATAAGTGGTTTCTAAGTTTATCAACCATAAATCATTTTTTTCATTCCGTGAAATTTTTTGTTAAATATTGACCAAAATGACAAAAATGACTCAATTTAACAAAGAATGGGCTAAAATGATTTGATAAAGTTGAGGGTATTTTTGTCATTTTATCCTTGTTTAGTGGAGATTTAACATGGAATGACCAAAATGATTGATGGTTGACAAACTCAGAGATCACTTCTATTGGTTTTAAATCTCAAGTACCAAAGTGAAGAGTTATGCTAATCTCAAAAACATTTTGGCTAAAAAGCCACAAAATAATGAACTCCAATTTATCCTACAACTACACACGATTTTGTTTCCGCAGTAGCACGAAGCGTTGTGGTGTTTTGCAAATATCTATTCACACAGAATTTTGTTTAATGCATTGTTTATTGCATTGGAAACTACAAAAATCTCATTTGACACTCCAAACTTTCTATAATTAAAAAGAAAATTACACTTATGAGAAATGTAGAATGAGATTTTTGGAATGCTAATAACAATTATATATATATATATATATATATAATATTGTCTGGTCAAAAGAGATAGACACCTAATCAATGACAACCAATGAAGACGATGTGCCCACCAAGATTTTGAAGATAAATTTAAAAATCCGCTCTGATACCGGTTGATGCTGGACAAATCAAGGGATTCACTCAATTATGGGCAACAAAACGTGTTTGACGTCGTTACTTGTGGATTTATTAACTCAACGGGACTAAAAGCCCAATAGTTAATTTTGGAAGTATGAAACACTTTCTTATATTAGTTTTTTTATTTTTTTTATTTTTAAATTAACTAATTGACTGTCTAGATCATATAGAGCTCTTTAAATGGAAAGAGATATCTTACAAAGATAAGGTAGATAGTTAGTGGGAAATTTGAAAAAATAACCCAATTTTAGACCCCATATAGAATTATAGCCATTAATTTAATTTTATGATAATTATAACCAAAACTTGATTTAAAATTACTAATATACCCTTAATTTTAGGGTTTCTCACAACAATTAAAACACACTTAACACACTTAGATCGGTTGGATGATTCGGTCTAGGTTTCCATTACATGAATAGGTCCCACACTCGCACAAGTATAGTTTTCCAATTGACACAAAACCTCTCGTATCTGTGGACATTACATTGTTCTTCACAAACAGAGGCTCCAAGTCCTCCAGCATTAATTTTCGCCCTCATATGAGCATCACACCTCTTGTCATCAAGATCAGCTGCCTCCAAATCTACATTGGTCATCCTACGAGTGAGAATCAACTGTACTTACGCCTGTTGTCTGCTCTGGGCGTTTAGCTCGGCAACGTAGAGGAAAAACTGAGCTAAACAAATGGTACCTTTCAATATCCAAAACACTGCAAAAAATGCTTGAGTCGAAAAGCTCTTATCTCCATAACCCAGGGTTATGATGGTAGAATAAACACAATAAAATGCATCCACAAGGCTCAATTTCTCAACAGTATATAGGAAGATTGTGCCACCAATATGAGTAGCAAAAGAAGGATAAAGACCACTATACATTTGTACCTTAGCAATCATACATATCACGAACTTACAAAACCACTATCAAAATACTCAACAACATGGTGCCCTCAATTTGAGGTTGTTGCGCAAGCAATATATATTTGATGTTAACAACGTTCCTGACCGATAAACATCAAGATCTTCAAACTCTAAATGCTCCAGCATTTTCGCCCTCCGGAGCATCACCTCTCTCGTTACTTCTAGTGTACAGCGGCCTATGTCTTTGCACCACCACACATGGTATCTTCCTCCTATCCACCACTTCTAAATCCCGCTTTAAAACTTCCAATTGCTTGCTTCCTTCAACAAAATTGGTCTCAGGTGGAATGTACACAAAATTTACCGACCCAACATCAAACGAATAGTAAAGATTTCGTATAGCTGGGGCACTTGTTCCAATTGGTTTAGATGAGTTTCCAAGCATGTTGAACTTAAGACTGTAAGGCAGCCACCACGGTTTCCATGCATGACTGTAATGGCCAATCATACCTGTGATTGCCAATACAAAGTTACAAACATGGTATGAAGTCTTGAATATATGCATAACATGACATTAAGAATTTATTAGTACTTTTACATCAAATTTTGGTTATAATTATCATAAAATTAAAATGGTGGTTGTAATTCTATATGTGGTCCAAAATTTGGTTATTTTCCAAATTTCCCATGGTTAATAGTAGGGGTAGCTGCTAGGCAACCCAATAAACAGAAACTAAAAACATAACTTTGAAGTCACTTTGTACTACGGTATAGTGATTCCTCTTTCCTTGTGAGAGATTTTTTGTTCAACTCTCGTCGTATGCTAACTTGTTATAAGGCTTAGCTCACTCTCTTAACCCCTTAGTATAGATAATATCGTTTATTTTAAAAAAGAAAACATAACTTTGAAAAATAGAAGCGACCACAAGCCAAGCTAAACGCAGTGACCATGTTTATAGTAGTGCGTCATGCCTCTTGAACTAAAGTTCATGGACACGTAATTATTAGTACTTAAAACAATCTCATTTATTCATTTACATTTTGTACTATGGTGCATGCAACGCAGGCTACCTAGTATGCCTGAATTAATCATGTCCGTCCATGTTTTTATGAATGCTTCTCAGCAATACTTTGGAGGTGGCAGAACAGCTCCACTGGTTTAGAGAACATGACCATGTGATCAGAACCGTTTATCACTTTCACTTCATTTGGGGGATTCTTCTTGATCATGTAATTTTGCACATCCAACGCAATCGCATGATCTTGGTTGGCCACGATGAATACTCTAAAAACTGATCCATACTTCTCTTTCGTGAGTTTTATTACATCATAATTATATAAAGGAAAAAATCTTACCAACGATAACGCTAGATTTAAATCCTGTCCATGACAAACATAAAACAAAAAAAAGTTAGCTAACCAATACTCGAAAGCCCGAACTTATATTTTGAAACAATTAGCGCTCTACTCTTACAATACACATTATGTTTCCAATTTAAGAGAACACGATAGGGTTCCTATATATTTCAATAGACACACTTTCAGACTTACCTGTGGTGGGGAGAGCTGGTACAAGATTGTCGCCATGTCCTTAGGCCCCAGGAGAAGGGAGGTTGCAGGGTTGTTGGTCCCGTTGTCATATCTGTATTGAGTGTCCATAAATTGCCTTCCTTTGGTAACCTATACATTTTTAAGTAAATTATTTTTTAGTTAATTATCCTTAAGTAGGATTCAGAAAACAATGAACAAGAGACCATGTTAAATTGTTACTTGTGACAAATATCTATTTTAAATATGCCATATTCATTCATCAAAATAAGGTTAGTACGACATATGACCAATAAATTGGGTATACAGTAAAACCTCTATAAATGAAAATGTTGGGATCAAGAAAAATTATTACTTTGGAGAAGCATTATTATATCGATAAGTAAATAATTTATAATTTATTGATATATGAATATTTATTAATGTATAAAGAATTTTTTGATTTTGTTCATTTTTGATTTTTTTGATTTTTGATTTTTGATTTTTTTTTTTTATAAAGAGACATGTTGTGACCAAATGAATTTCTTTTTTTTTTTAACAAGTGGTATTATCTATACTAAAGGGAAGAGGGTGTGTTTAGCCTCATAATAGACTAACAATAATTTGGTTCAAATATGCTTTTGGCGAGAATCGAATCTAAGATCTCTCACTTACAAGTGAAAAGGAATACTATTAGACCGTAGTACTAAGTAACTTATTATTTTAAAGAGGTCATTATTGTATCGATAAATAAATTATTTATTTATTTGTCGATATATATTTATTTTTTAATTTGTAAAGTATCTTACAAAAAGCAAAGATGCATGTATATTTTAGGTTTTTAAAACTTTTAAGGTGATTTAGGAACAAGACGATCAACTGTTTTAAAAAAATTAATTTCCTAGAAGATAAAGTACTTCAGTGTTTTTTATGCAACATAATCTCTTTATATATAAGTAATCTCTTAGACTCCTAATCATTACAATTATCATAACTTGTTCATCTATGACATCTCATTTGAAAGGAATAAAAAAAAAATGTACATTGATTGATGAGATAAAGGGAGCATTGTGTGAGTATAAAAATGAGCATATCTCTTCTAGTTAAAAGATTTGCAAACAATGGGTTCCACAAAAATATTAGTTGATCTCTACCAACCAATCAACACTATCAAACACTATTAAAAGGTCAACATGATATTTGTCGGATGAGATGAAAAATAACAATGTTAAGAGGCACAAACCAGCAAAATATTCCGAGTTAAAAAAGTATTGTATGAGTGGTTCCTCCAATATCACGATAAAGTGAATATGACTAGAGAAATAATAGCAGAACTTTTAGACTTTTAGTATATACTAGTCTTCATGCGCATGCAGAAAACATTTTTTGAATCATGGCGTGTTACTCGTGACTCACAAGTTTTAAATGTATATATATATGCGTAAATTGACAAAAGGAAAGTCAAATATTTGAAGTAAATGAATAATTTTAGATCATATAGAAGAAACCCCTCATAAACCAATTAAAGCAACTGAATTCACATATTAAAATCGGTCTCTATAGAATTTACATTAAGAATAGAGAAAATAATATTTAATAAACAATTAATTGAATCATATTATTGCTAGCCTATTGTGAGGCTAAACCCACCTCCCTCCACCTTAATGTAGATAATATTGTTTATTTAAAAAAATAATAATAATCATTTGACAATTAATTTAATCACATTATTATCCGTGTGCGAAAGGCCTTTTTTATAACCGGCATTACACGCCTCTTAAGATGTTTTGAACGTGTTTAAAAATAGAGAAAAAATATTTAATAAATAACTGATTGAATCACATTATTGTTAGCCCATTGTGAGGCTAAGCCCACCCTCCCCCTTAGTGTAGATAATATCGTTTGTTAAAAAAAAAAAACAAGCAATCATTCGACAACTTATTTAATCACATTGTTATCTGTGTGCAAAAAACCTTTTTTTATAACCGAAATTACAAGTCTCTTAAGATGTTTTGAACGTGTTTAAAAATAAAGAAGTTGAATCACATTATTGCTAGCTTATTGTGAGGTATTAATTAAAAATAAATAAATAAAAGCACCAAAAAGTAAATTATTAAAAAAAATACTATTAAAATGATGAAAATGCCCCTGCCTTATTTGATGCATTATTTTGGGATGGCTTTGAAATTTTTTTGTTTTGGGGGCATTTTTGTCCAAATATTTTTATTGAAGCATGGTGACACCAAATCACTATTCACCTTTTCCATTATCTTTGTATATAACTAGCAGAGAGCACACACTTTGTGTGTGTGAATAATTTCTCTTAATAAGTGCATATTTTTTCTTAATATTTTTTTTTTTTTGGTACAAGGGAGGGCAAAGCCCGGCAAGCAAAACAGAAAGAAATCAGGCAAGAACAGCCCTAGGGAGGGCCCTGCCAATAGAGTCAGAAACTAGACAATTACTAGCAGTGGTAGGAGGAGAAACAAAAAGATGAAGGCCAAGAGTATTTTTTCTTAATATTACTTAATTACTGTTTTGTCATAGAAAAAATAGGTATATGATTGTCATTTTCTAAAAAAATGAGGGTAAAATTGGAAAAATATGAGGGTAAAATTGGAAAAATAGGGATATGATTGTCATTTTGTCAAAGGGTACAAATTAAAGCCTCTTCAACCGCCCACCTCCTCCCACATTCTCCTCAAGCGCAACTACTTTAGTTCATTCAAACTATCCAAAAAATATCATGATTTCACTTACGTGTATGCAAAAATGATGGTGGGACAATTTCTCTTAAAAAGTGCATATTTTTTATCTTATGCAAATATTTTGATACAAAATTACTATTTTGTCCTCCTTATGTAAATGTTTTGTATCAAAAGTGAGGGCAAAATAGAAAAAAAAAGTGGAAAAACTTCAAAAGATACAAAATTACTATTTTACCCTTCTTATGTCAACATTGTGTATCAAAAATGAGGGCAGAATAAGAAAAAAAAGGGGCAAAAGTTGACAAGGCCTCTTCTCTTAATAGAATAGATAGATGAATTTCATTACCTCTGCAGATGCAGTTGAGAAATTGAGAGTAGGACCATACATGACAGCTGTGACAAATATCGCAGCAGCAACTTTCTCAGGAAATCTCTCCATGAAAATAGATATTACGGCTCCACCCAAGCTGTGACCCACGAGGATAACCTTTTCATTTGGTGGTAGAGACACCATGACCTTTGTCAAAGGTTCGACGAATTCCGATAACGAAGGGAGTTGTTGTACCTGAATCGGGTTGATCCCGGATGCTCCCAAGTCTAGAGCTGTTACATTGTGACCAGAGTTCCTCAGAAGAGTCGCCACCTTATACCAACTCCATGCCCCATGGCAGGCTCCATGTATCAACACAAAATGTTTTGGACTTTGAGTTTTGTTGTGAATGTTGGAGGGCGGGGATGGGGTTAAGGTACTCGCTTTTGCCAAGCAAATAAATGAAAGGAAAAATAAAAGGAGCTTCTCTGTCATGTTCTTCAATTCCAATTTCTGTATCATTAACTCACAATTTCCTTGATTTGGTTTGCTTCTATCGTCTTACTTTTATATATAGAAATCCGTCCGAGAACTAATAATCAACTCAGGGGTGATGTTAGGAGAGCAAATAAGTAGACTAAATTTTGTAAATTAAATGACATGGAAATTGATGATTGGATTATTACTTAAGTGTTGATTAATGTATTTATTTCTTATTGGTGACACATCATTTAGTTTGCAAATTTAATCTCTCTAGCATATTCATCGACTCAGAAGTCAAAAGTCTTGAGTTGAAAAGTATTCCCAACTCCAATTTGCTAGAAACTAGTTTTCTAACTCATAGCCACATGGTAATGTTACCAAATTTTTAAACCAAAAATTGTAAACCAATTGATGTGGTTGTTGATGATTGAATTAGGGGTGTGATATCCACACACCTCATTTTACTTCTCACACACTTTTTTATTTTTCAACCGTTAGATTGGATGAATTGAAAAAAATCAACAGATATAAATTATCAAGGGTGTGTGAGAAGTAAAATAGTGTGTGTGGATAGCGCACCCCTTGAATTATTACTAAGTATTGATTAACGTGTTTATTTCCTATTGATAACACATTATTTAATTTTTAAATTTAGTTTGAAAATATATTAGTATACAAACGTCATTGCTGACGCTCCATTATATAAATGGCGTTTATCTTGATCAAGCTAACTAGACGAAATCTTAGTATATATACATTTTGTGAAAGATTAAAAATCTAATAAAACAAAAGAATAAAATGTTTGAAAAGAATACTGCTAGAAACTTAGAGTTGGGGAATATTGTTAGATTTCTAATGCTACCAATATCCACTAAATTTGAAATATTTCCGTTACACTATGTTTGGAGGAGAAAATAAATTGAGAATTTACACAAAAATCAGAATTTTTATATTGGCATGAACCAATTTTCTTGTTTGGATTTGTAAACATAGAAATTTAGAATTTTGGTGTGGATAAAAAACTTAGAATTTTAAGCCTCCAATTTTCAAAACTAAATTCCATGAAAATATAATGGGAAATTTTATTTGAACCCATATTTTGTATCACAACACCCATCTTACTTTTTATATCTGATGCACTAATTAACCTTCAAATCTTCCTAACGTTATTGAATTGAATGATTGCATACGACAACCCAAAACATTCCCCACAAGTCCCCTACATGATTGCATAATAGAGATACAAGCAAGAATCATTACGCTCTATGAAAATTATAAGTGTTGACGAGGCATTCGTTACTATGATTGCATGAAACTTATGCCAAGAATTCGTTTAACGCGATTGTTTATAAGCAACCTCCACTACTTGTGAATATAAGTTCGTAACTATTAGGTGAAACTCACTTATATTCTAGCGTCATATTCATGCTTGAAAATTAAGCGTGTACTCTCAATAAACATACATAAATAAGTTATCAATCAAACAGTTAAACAAATTGAATCCACAACTTATGAAACGCAATTAGAAGTAATCAAATCAAAATGCAAGCATAAACATATATTTCGAATCCCCCTCTAGCCAAGGGGGGGTTTAGTTCCTCATACGTACAAAACAAAAAGAATTGAAATTAAACATTGTAATCGAGGAAAAGAAACACCTAAACATTCCAACAACTCAAACTTGAATTGTATGAACGTTTAGGCACTCTTCTCCTCCTCTTCGTTGTAGCACAAGGTCTAAGGATAGTTTGATGGTGTGGATGTGTGTTTGAATGAATGAATTTCTGAAATGGAAGAGTGTATGTGAATTTAGGTGTAATGGATGCTTATTTATAGGCGAAATGGGGGGAACATGACAGCTAGGAACTTGGTGGAAATCTGGAATGGTGATGGGAGATGCATGTGGCTGATTTATGCATGTGATTAAAGGGTGGGATTGCATGTGCTTTGACAGAAATGAAAGGGAATACACGGCATGGGATGTTTTCTGGTGGTTGTGAGGTGGAAAGCTAGGTGGAAAGCTGGAATTTCAAAGGGGAATGCATGTGATTAAAGGGTGGAATGAATGGAATGCAATCTGAAATGGGAGATGGAATGGGATGCACGGAAATGATGGTGTTTGTGTGAATGATGGCAGATTGTGTGGGTGAGTGTGTGGTTGGAAATGAATGTGGAATGAATGATTTTGTTGGTTGAATTAAAGAATGGGAATGCAATCTGAAATGCATGTGAATCATGTTGGAAAGAAGGGGAAGTCACGGCACAAGGTAAGGGGGAGTGAATGTGGCTGAAATGCAAGGGGGAATGATGATGAATGCATGTGCAATGACAGCTAGGTTGGTTGTGGAAAGCTGGAATTGCACAAAGGGAATGCATGTGCACGGTTTTGGTGTGGAGAAAGGAATAATCTGGAAATGCAAGTTGAATGATTAAATGGCTGAATTGGATTAAAGAATGGGAGTGATGGGTTGGAAATGATGGTGGGTTATGCACGGCAATGATGAATGGGATGGGTGGATTTGTTGATGATGAATGCATGTGGAATTGCAAGGAGGAAGGTATGGTTATGGTTATGATAAGTGATAAGTGAATTTTGATGATAAGTGATAAGTGAATGGTTTGATAAGTGATGAGTGAATGGTTATGATAAGTGATAAGTGGTGATGATAAGTAATGATATGTGGGAGTGTGGCTGAAATGAAGGAGTGGAATGTTGGAATGTTATGCACGGCTAAGGATATAGGAAAGGTTTAAATGTCCTAAAACTAAAGGGAACAAGGTTCCAACACTTTGGTCTTCAATTTCGTCCAACACTTTGGCTCCAAGCATAAGCTATCCATCCTTAGCCCAAAAGTGCTCCAAAAGTCTCCAAAATGCATCTTTTTGCTCCTTTAGCCCTTTGGACCTACAAACACACGAAAATAGCTTAAAGTACTAAAATAACTAAAGAAACATAACGTAAATGCACGAGAACAAGCCATTTAAGTCGCATGAATATGCTCCTATCAAATACCCCCACACTTAGCTTTTGCTAGTCCTTGAGCAAAACAAAACAAAAAAAAACAAAAACAAAACGACACTGAACAAGAAAAACACAACCTAAACCTTCCAACAAGTCTCAGGGATTTCCAATGCACATGACAAGTTAAAAATCATTATTCCCACATATTTTAGCCATCTTTACACTTAAGTACATTCTTAATCATAGTCACAACATACTAGTTCACAATTAAGCATTTAAAACCATGATTTGAATGTAGTAACATGCCTTAGAGAATTTCCTCAATTCCTTACTAGAATGCACTCTATTTTCACACAGATTTTCTGACTACACACCCTACACTAGTTATATGTGAGAGATTGATGTAAACATGAAAGACTAGTATCTCACATATGTTATAACAAAGAAAGCATTTTCTGGATTTACGATAATGACATGAATATGATCTCATGAATGGAATGCTACTACTTAGAATGAGAACCAGTGATTCCATAAGCTCATATCAATTCCAAACTCCACATTTTGAAACACATAACACTCAAGATAGAAGTCAAAGGGTTGTAACGGGGCTAGGGTATTGGCTAACAATGAAAGGTGAAGGATAAACAAACATTCTTCAAGCAATAGTGAGCAAAGTATTGAATTAGACACTTAGAATTCCCTTAAGAACGCAGAAGTCAACTTTGAACACCCAAGGGAAAGTCACACAAAACTTAGGGCCATATTCAACTTTTTGGACCCTTTCTTCAACCATCAACGCTTGTGAGTTCATTCTTACTTATTTTCACTCCTTTTTTTTTTTTTCTTCTTCTTTTTCTTTTGAATCTCAAAACATACATATAAACGTAAGAACAAACTTTTACTCCCCCACACTCATTTTCTTGCATAATGTAACTCAAAAGGAATTCATTTAAGTCATGCTCACTATACTTTAAGAACAAGGGTATAGGAAAGTCCTACTCTAGGCTAGGTAAGGGGTGATATGGTTAGCAAAGAAAATAGGCTAAACGAGGCTCAACGGGGTTAAAACTAATATATACGAAATATGGGAAGTAAGGCTATTTGGCTATGGTGGCACTACACAACTTCATCTTGATATATGTTATGCAAATCAATGTCATGCTTTGAATGAAACGGATATAAGTTCTAGCATTTAGTTCTATCATGATACAATTGCATTCTAAGTAGCACCCAAGCAAGGAATAATGAGATCATGCAACAACTTTAGAAAACAAAGAATCACAGAAAATAACTCTCCAAAGAACATTTAGGCTCAAGTCTCACAAGGTTGTAGCGTTTGTTTGAGTTCCTTCCTTCAAGCATGTTACAAAAACAATTTTTTTTTTCTTTTATGATTGCATGTGAAGTCATACATTATAACCATAACCAAGCATATACCAAGAGTAAATCAAACTTTCATCTATGTTTATAACTCTTTTTAACAGTCATGCAATTACAAACCAAATCCTTATCATTGTGTTGGAAGGTACCCTAAGACACAAACACACAAAAATGACTCAAAACACTCTTTTTAGGCTTTTTCAAAACATGTTTTTCAAATTTTTATGTGATTTTCGGAGTTATAAAAACAAAACATATTAAAACACTCTAAAACATCTTAAAAACACCTTAAAACAGCAAGGAACAACATTTGAAGTTATGGGTGATAAAATCCCACGAATTTGCATTAAATATACTTAGTTACCCCCCCCCCCCCCACACTTAAATCAAACATTGTCCTCAATGTTTTAAGCATAGATTCACACAAAACATAAGTAAACACACCAAAAGCAACTAAACATACTAAACATGGCAGAATGTAACTAACAAAGAGAAGAGTTTAGGGACGCAAATCTGGTTATGGAGTGTAAATTCCATCTTCTCCTTGGTAATTGCATTGAGGCTTTGATCTTGGTGATTCCACAGGCTACTCTTGAACTGGGTGCAGGATTCTTTTGGTCTCCTCCACTCGTTGATTTTCCTTTGTGCTACTCTTGAACTGGGCAGCAGGATTCTTTTGGTCTCCCCCGAAGGTCTGAGCTTACTCCTTTTATCTGTTTCTTTGTTCAATCTCTCCAATTCGTATTGAAGAGGGTTAGA